TACAATATCACATAAAATTTTTGGCGATCGGAGTAAATGTCACGTGGTTACAATGCCACGCCCCTTTGAGGTCTGAGTCAAAAATCTGGTTTTGCCGGCATTTTTTCGTGAAAATCTTTCGGCTACACATAGTGCGCATTAGTGCCTTGCGCTTAACAGAGTTTCACCAAAATCGCAAAGACCCAATTCGAAAAATTCAGCGGTTTCCAAATTTAGGTCATAATTTATGCGAAAATGATAAGCAAACTTTACACGATTATATCTAATAAACTATGAGATTCATCTCTTTACTTTGGGCATCGTTATAACAGATGGGTCCTTGCAAGTCAGCAAAACGCTTTGGGGCCTTGAAAATGCGCGCAATTTCGAGCAAAGCAAACATATCGAAATTATAGTTTTAGCTATTTGTTGACGTTTGTCAGCGTTTAAGAGTCCTTCTCACGAAAAAAGCATTTTCTTAAAAAATTCGTAGTTTTTTTCCCTTCAAATTTTTTCAGGGCCACAATTGATTAATTAACTACTCGGATTCTGAATTTCATGGTCATTGAAAAACTGTGAAATTATCTTCTATAAGCCCAAACTTGAGTAAACATTGAAGTATTTAGCGTTTTGGCTGAGTTTGTGCTTTGGGAGTTGTCTATTGTTTCTAGTCTGTCATGATACAGCATTCTCGTTCAGCACGCGTGCAATGACCGCGCTTGGCTGACTTCCGAATGCTCACCGAGATATGATAATTTTGGTACAGTGAGACAGGCCATCTCGTGATACATAGAGGTTTAACTCACAATTTTTAATCAATTCTCGTGCTTCTTGTGCCTTTGCAAAAAAATCAAGAAGTGCTATACACACTAAATCTACTTACTATTAAAAAAATATCATTTTTTCAAAGTTTTAATGCAAGCCAATAATTAAACCAACTCGTGACGGGAATCCCTTCTATTTTCTCATACTAAATTATCATATCTCGGTCAGCATTCGGAAGTCAGCCAAGTGTGGTCATTGCACGCGTGCTGAACAAGAATGCTGTATAATGACAGACTAGAATCAATAGACAACTCCCAAAGCACAAACTCAGCCAAAACGCTAAAAATCGTCAATGTTTACTCAAGTTTGGGCTTATAGAAGATAATGTCACAGTTTTTCAATGACCATGAAATTCAGAATCCGGGTAGTTAGTTAATCAATTGGGGCCCTGAAAAAATTTGAAGGGAAAAAAACTACGAATTTTTTAGAAAATGCTTTTTTCGTGAGAAGGACTCTTAAACGCTCACAAACGTCAACAAATAGCGAAAACTATAATTTCTATATGTTTGCTTTGCTCGAAATCGCGCGCATTTACAAGGCCCCAAAGCGTTTTGCTGACTTGCAAGGACCCATCTGTTATAACGATGCCCAAAATAAAGGGATCAATCTCATAGTTTATTAGAAATAATCGTGTAAAGTTTGCTTATCATCTTCGTATAAATTATGACCTAAATTTGGAAACCGCTGAATTTCTCGAATTGGGTCTTTGCGATTTTGGTGAAACTCTGTTAAGCGCAAGGCACTAATGCGCACTATGTGTAGCCGAAAGATTTTCACGAAAAAATGCCGGCAACGGCAGATTTTTGACTCCCAAAAATTTTATGTTATATTGTAGATTGATCTATATGTTATCCATTCTATGTGTTAGACTTACGATAAAAGTAAAGGTGGGGATACCAGAGAGCTTCAAAGTAGGATGGTACCCCCCCCCCCCCCAAAAAAAAAAAAAAAAAAAAAACTGGGTATAGTCACCTTAAGCAGGAGCCCATCAAATGCCTTAAGAGGAAGCGAACAAATTCCAATCACGTACGCTATCGTAACCGCCACAAGCAAAGTCAAGCTTTTTAAAAGCATTGGTGCTGTCGGCTATCTCAATACATGGCTACCTCGCTCTATTTTCATTTACAGTAACAATACCCTTTTAACGGCAGGATGTTGTAAGTCTTGTAAATCAGTACTTAGGTATCTGAAACACTGATATCGTCTTCTTTGTCCCGGTCTTGTGAAACCAATACTCGGACATAGTTTCGGCAGAAGCTGGTATATGAGGCTTTTCTATACTCCGAGTACATCTTTCCTTTAAACTACGAGGCCTTGAAAACACAATTCATGCTCGGGTTTTATTTCTATTCCAGGAAAGAACTTGAGAGCGCCCTCTAGAGCCTTCTTGAATTCCTCTCTGCGTCTCTGTCTATGAAAGTATCACATACCGGTAACATGAAATCAAAACATCTATGAAAAATTTTAATGGCTTCTCCTTGCAAATCGCTCTTGCGGTCGGTGACGTCAGGGGGTATTGTGTGTTATCCAATCACTGCCACATCCAGATTTTGGAAGTGTCACACGATTTGCTGAATGGTTTTGTGTCAGGTCCTCCTTTCTCTTCTTCCCCTCCCCCCACCCCCATGTAAAATCTCCTCTCCCCTAGCCCCTTAGGAAAGCCTGATACTCAGGCTAGTCTGGCGGTTTTTGCGCTCTGTCATGAAACGATAAATTTCGAGTTCGCTATGACCGCTGAATTAAAGAAGTGAAGACGCATTTTTTACAGGCTTAGCCTCCATCTGAAGTAATATATTGACAAAGTCCACCGAGAAAAAGACCTGTTTATTACTCTGTCTATTGTGTATATTCAAATTTCAAACACTTGCTTGCCGGAATTTCTGAATATTTTACTGTATGTCAAGGCTAACCCTGCATAAATGTGCCGTTAATGTTTATATTCAGCGGTAGTTTTTAATTCGAAACTGGAATAATAAACGTGACTCCAAATGTCGTATGCATAACCTTAAAAGAGTTGTCTTGGTGTTTACTTACCTATTCAATTACAAAAAAACGCCTCATTAATTTAATGACTCGTTGCACCCTGACTACGCTTACCGTATTTTCTGCATCAAAACGATCGAGTTGTTCCTTTTTTGTTACTTAAACCAAACCTGACCGTCCCATATGGGGTGTGTATCATCAGCCTCGTCATGGGGTTGTGCATCATCCATAAAATTATCAGCAAAAGAAGCTGAGAATGTTGAATCTGGCCAACGCATCGGGAAGGTAAGCGCAAGTGCTTTGTAATGACCTTAGCTTTATTATGCGTTTGCTGTATTGTTTATCTTCATCAGTTGGGAAGAGAGATAATGACAACATTTTGTACCAAACAGCTACTTTTAGATATCACAGTCTTACACAATGATGCCTGCTGCAGCTGATTAGTAACAAGCAGGGAAACGTTTGAATCTCTGACTACGGCTTGGAAAGGTTCGGGGCTTCAAGTGCTGTACATGTTCAGTCACTGAAAAGCACTTGAAGCCCGATTCTATAGCGGCCTAATAAGTATATGGCCTTCATGGAATTAAGCTGCGCTTTCTGCTTAATAACTGAATGGTCCTTATAAATTCAAAAATTTCAACACGTTTCAAATTATATTTATTATTTTTAGAGATTCTGACAAAACCCACGAGTGGGCGAAAAATTTCCTGTCACTTCATACGTGAAGAGCGGGACGCGCAGGGGAATTTTCCGTGACAACCATGTATTACGCATGCTTGTTCTACATTCTTAGAAAAAGAAGAAACCACTGGTAGCTTACCCGTAGCTTGTCAATTCGTAGACGGTCCAGCGCATTTTGCCAATAAGACTCAGTAGAGATCATTCTCGTTCACGTTCGCTTGGCCTCGTCTCGCCGATAGCTGGAATTTTTGTTTCTTAATGTTCTTTCTGATTGTTTGTTCTTCTACAGCTGTATTTACTAAAAACACTTCATACATGTAATCATAAAAGGCGACAATATTCTCAGCAGATTAAATGTACTACATTAGTTATAGTGGTGGCTCCACCAAATTCAAGTTTTGGTTGAAATTAAACTAGATTTCTGACATGTTTTTTCTGATCAACTTAAGAAATATCCTGCATTTGTTGTTCAGTATAAGTTAAAATTCCAAGAAATTCAAAGAGTCTCTGCAATAGAACTCTCCAACTCACGTACCAGTAAACTTTCCAATAAGATTAACAGAGATACGAAATAAAGGTTCTATTATGATCCTGAGCTATGGACGCAGTGAGGAAAAAACTGAGTCCCGGATAAAACAACATCATCTGTTCCTACATCGGTTCACTACCGAAACTGAATCAAGGTTAACTAACTTAGATACATACTAACACGATCTTTATTGTCAACTCACCATGGCGCCAATAGTGATTATCGCCTATTAGACCTAAGATACTGCTAAGATAAAAACTAATATGTGAAATTTACAACTAAATTATTTACATTATGCTGCGTAAAATTATCTTTAAAATTATTTCACACTCATGTATGGGGGCATCATCACTCATTCCTTCAGTACTTGTAAACTGCACCCTAAGCAGTCTGGCAAAGTCCCCCAACCAGTGTTGTAAATTATCCCTGAAAAGCCCTGTGGGGAGTGGATAATAAGATATTTACAATTACAATTTATCTAAAATTTGAAGTCTTTCCACTACAAAATCTGCAACATGCCCGTTGAGTTCCGTATTGAGCGAAGAGTTTTAAAGTTGATCGAGTATGTTTCTTTCCTAGTCCTGAACGATTTCATGGTTGATATAACCAACAAAAATGACCCTAAAAGAATCGGATAATCTAACTCTGTTACTGTTGTAGGAAATCTCCAAAGCTGTAAAATTACAAGTTACCAAGAAGAAAGACAATGTAAAGAATTCAGGTATGATTATAATAAATCAATTTCATTTACACGGCAGCAAAGAAGAATTTGACATGTAGCCTTATCTCGAGTCTTTATTTAACTTCCGCAGGTAAGAAAACTACACGGTCGAGGATAAAAAAACAAAGGAGCCTTGCCAATCGTCGGCCAAGACCAAGAAGAAAACACCGCCGAGTCGGGTCGTCTGGTCCTTCTGGTAATAATGATGATAGAATGCCGAAAATAACCATTTCACGTGAAGGTAAAGGCATGGACTCCGACTCTGACTCTGACTCTGACTCAGAAGAAGAAGAAGAAGAAGAAAAAGAAGAAGAAGAAGAAGAAGAAGAAGAAGAAGAAGAAGAAGAAGAAGAAGAAGAAGAAGAAGAAGAAGAGGAAGAGGAAGAGAAAGAAGAAGAAGAAGAAGAAGAAGAAGAAGAAGAAGAAGAAGAAGAAGAAGAAGAAGAAGAAGAAGGAGAAGGAGAAGGAGAAGGAGAAGGAGAAGAAGACAAAGAAGATCAAGAAGAAGAACAAGAAGAAGAACAAGAACAAGAAGAAGAAGAAGAAGGGAGAAGGAGAGGGACAAGACCAAGAACAAGAAGAAGAACAAGAAGAAGAAGAACGCTAAACAGTGAAGTCTAAAGTACTAATTAAAACTTAGACCTACATGGTACGCTATGATACTATGCTGCGCCTACTATCACTATCACCACCACTACCACTACCACTATCATTACCACTACCACCACCATTACCACTACCTGAATACCACTACCACTACCCCGGACCACCACTGCCACTACCAATGACCAGCACCAAGAGAGATGCCAGCACTAATACTACCACTACCACTATACCATTACCACTGAGCACCCGACCAATGACTACCAATCCCACTACCACTACCCCTGACCATCATGGAACCCCGCCTTACGGCCTCTTTTTTTCGGCCCGGCAAAACGGCCATACATTTCCCTAGAAAAAAACCCGTTAATGTGGTCACCATTAATACGGCCAATGGCCACATTTTAAAATCCCGAACAGTAGAATCTCTTATAATTTCACCAGTTAATACGGTCACTTGTTCGAAATTTAAATGTCTGTGACACATCAGTTTTATTACCCTAGTACTCTGAGCCTGTTCTTGTACTGTTTTTAGACTTCAGTACACATGAAGTGCTTTTGTTGCGATTTTATAGCCGAGTTTAAAAAGGGTTTTGTTTACTGAAGGAAAGTTTTAAGTAGTTTTTTTCAATTACTGTACGCGATATCTTTATTCCGGTTGTTTATTAATGAGAACAGTTGTTCAAGAAATGCGAATGCGATGTACGGTGTATTCAGTTGTCATTACGGCCCTCAAGTCATGAAATTTGAACCTGCCTTTATAATAAGGCCACCCCGTTAATACGGCCAATTTTCTTTTTGACCCATTGGTGATCGTTTCAACGGGGTTCACTGTACCACTACCACTGCACACTACCACTTGCACTGACTACTGTCTTCACTCCCACTAACACTACAACTGCCACCTTCATTACTTCTACCCCTGACCACCACTACTACCACCACTGACTACACCTTCACTATAATGGAAAGGCGTATATTCACTATCATAAGGGTGAAAATGGAAAAATAAAAACTCGAGTTGTTCTTAAAAGTAAAAAGTTATGATAGTTCTCCTTGCCAACTTTTTCTTACCTTGCTGGCTACGAACTGGTGCCAGTATAGTCGTCATATTCTCAGGAACAGTCCCTTACTGTTAAAAAAAATCATGCGTCTGTCTCCTGACAATCTTCTGACTCATTTTCTCGGGAAAGTGCCATACACTTCCTGGTTGTTTACCATTTATAAAAAAATTTCGGAAATTTTGGTAGGGAATTTTGGTTCGGTAAAAACGGTTCGTGTCGCACCATTTGCCTAAAATTTCGGGATTGTCGCGCCGCGCTAGTAGACTGGATTCTAGTTACAAGATGAAACTGGTACGAAACTCAAGAAACTTGATGCATCAGTCAATTGCGGCTGTGCCCAGCCCCCCCCGGCTACTGCGGACCATTTACCCGCCTTGTCAGTCCCGGAGGTGGGGCATTTGAAAATTTTGTGTTGACCGGGGGCCGGGCATTTACCAACCCCGGGGCCATTCCCGAGCTTTTGACAAGTACGCGGTTTCCTATCAGAATATAACTACACAGAGGATTTTACTGGGAAAGAAAGCAGAGCAGATTGACACCTCGGTCAAGGACAGGAAAAAATTGAAGAGGGTTGTAAGGCCATGTTCTTGATTTTATGCATGCATTTCTTCATTGCTTATCAAGCCAGAATTACATAGCGAAATAATCGGGAGCTATCGATGCGTGAATCAACGTGTTTTGGTTGTTGAATCAAATTTCTGTTGATATTATTTGAAAAACATCCTTTCATATTTAAAAAACTATTCATAACTATAACTTTACAGCACTCTATTAATTTTAATGTCAATAATTTTATATCAATACTAAATTATAAACCGGTGCATGTCGTTGCGACGTGAAGTCGTGAATAGAATCATAGCGTTATTACAAAGGAAGGCGTTAATTGAAACAAAGAATCGAACATTAAAATGCTTAAAAAGGCACCATTCGACTGTGCGATCAACGAAAAATGTTGCAGTGTCGACGGAGGACGGGGCATTTGCCCTCCTTTTGCGTCCCTACCTCGGGGGATTTGACAGCTCAAGAGTCCCCACCCCGGGGAATTTGCTGTCCAAGGCAAAAAAAAGGTGGCTGGGCGCAGCTGGAATTGACTGATGCATAAATGGTAAACGAACTTCCATTCGGTACGTCCGAACCGGGAAAACTGGACTAGCTTTTTGAAATTTCCGTTTGTCCCGGGAATTTTCCAGTGGGACGAGCCAAAAAAACGTTTACCATGTATTTACATCCCAAGGGGAATTTCCGGGAATTTGTGGTAAATGGTAAACAAGCCCTGTTTCCGAGAATGTCACGCTGTGATGATTTGATTGAATTAGTATGCATTAGTGCAGAAGATATGAAATTAATTTTAAGGATCTTTGAAATAATTACTGTTGCACAGAATTAACAACGTGTGCCGCAAGGAGGGTCGTTTTGATGGGCTTAGAGGAGAGAAATGGAGTGAGAAATCGCCGTGACAGGCCCAGCGGTATGAAACGATAAAAGGAACTCAAAACGAGGTTCCAAATGTCGTATGCATAACATTAAAAGAGTCGCCATGGTGCTTACTTAAAAAAAACGCCTCATTAATTTACTGACGCGTTGCACCCTGGCTACGCTTACTGTATTTTCTGCATCAAGACGACCGAGCTGTTTCTTTTTGATTAATTAAACCAAACCTGACGGTCCTGATATGGGCTGTGTACCATCGAAATCAGCCTCGTCATGGGGTTGTACATCATCGATAAAATTATCAGCAAAAGAGCCCGAGATTGTTGAATCTGGCCAACGCATCGGGAAGGTAAGCGCATGTGCTTTGTAATGACCTCCACTTTATAGCGTTTGCTTTATTTTTTCTCCTCATCAGTTGTGAAGAGAGATATATAATGACAACATTTTGTGCCAAGACAACTACTTTTAAATATCACGGTCTTACACATGCAATGATGCCTGTTGCAGCGGACTAGTAACAAGCAGGGATACGTTTGAATCTCTGACTACGGCGTGGAAAGGTTCGCAGCTTCAAGTAATGCACATGTTCAGTCACTGAAAAGCACTTGGAGCCCGATTCTATAGCGGCCTAATCAGTATATGGCCTTCATGGAAGCTGCGCTTTTTGCTCAAGGGGTTTCGATACAGTTATCGGGAGACCATACCGATATTTTTCAATCGCCTTAAAGGTGATTTTGTCCTCGTTCGATCGCTGTAAAATTTTCACCAGTGATTGACTATGAATTGAAGTTTGTCAAAAGGTAGTTTTCGGTAAATCGATATCACTACGACAAAAATAAACAAAAAAAAATTGAAATATGTAAAAGCCGAATTTTGTCCGATCTAGATCTAGGTACTTAGCCCGATCTAAGTGCGGTACTTAGTAAATAACCTCCGTGAGAAATAAAAAATTCTGTATGTTTGAATTCAAGTAAAACTTATATATATTTCAAACCTTACATTTTCAATAGCCGTGAGAAATTATTTAACTGATAAAAAAGTTCTAAATAACTTAAATTAACCTTAAGTATCGTCAGAATATAACTGATTACACTGCCATCATATTTCGCTGCTTGGAAATTTTGGTGTATTTTGTTTCTTGCGATCCTGAGAACTAACCTGTTTTCTGACCACCAGTCTAAGTGCGACTTTATTCTAAATTTTGACTTTTAGTGCTTTTCTGTCTATCTCTAAAACGGCTCAACAGAATTCTTTTTAAACCTCATCACATAATCTTCACGATGTATATAATAATTTGTGAAACTTTCATGAAGATTGATTCATTGCAACACCTTGAAATTTCAAGACAAACCTAGCCTACCAACCGCCCAAAACTCACTGTTTCGACGTTATGCTAATTTTCCCAAATTAATGCGGACCATACATACCTCCATGACTAGTGCATTTCAGTGTAAACATTGTCAATGTTTTACATTCAAAAGATGCGATAAAATTCAAACTGAAATGTACTAGTCATTGAGATATGTATGGTCCGCATTAATTTGGAAAAATTAGCATAACGTGTTTTCTTAGACGGTTCAACGCATTTTCCCAATACGGGGGCGTAGCCAGCATTTTTGCATATATCAGAGTGGTTCCTGAGGTCAGTTTTGTCTAGATTGACAATCGATCTTCAGAGGGTTTCCCGGAAAAATTTTAATATTTAGGTCCTCAGAAATTCCGTTTTGTGATCCCGAGTACAAATTTTCAATAACAGGGCCAAATGAAGCTAGATTTTTTTCGCTTCCAGTGAGGAGATAGTGTGATAGACTTTATAATAATTAGGTTGTCGATAGTTAATTTTTTTATCCCAGGTAATTTTTGTTTTTCTTTTGTTTTTGGGTATAGAAATGTATACTGATGCAGTTGAAACAAAAGGAAAATAAAAATTACCTGAGACAAAAAAAATTAACTACAACATATATGTTGATAATCGTTGAATACATTAAAACACGCAATGTAGTCCTGTGATTTGCCCTTTACTCAGTTAGGGTAGTTAGCAAGAAGGAGACATCATGGATGTTTCCGTGCAAAGGTGTCGATTGTTAGCCTTTGGGCCAATTTACGTAGTGCAATGTTCATCAGAGAAAGTGCAGCGGACTCTCGCTTCAGTCATGGTCGTCGCCAAGTACTAGTCTGCGCCATGTTCTAAGCCATCGCTCTTGTTCTGCTGATGTAATATTTGTAATAACGTACTTGAAATACGCAGCAACTTGAAGTTTGGAAAGAATTCATGGCAAAGCTGTCAACTGCACTACTAGAAAGGTCTTTTTCGACGTTGAGCCACTTGCGCTGCCAACGGAAAAGCCCGCACCACATGAAAATTAGAGCCGATGGAATCCTAATAGATGTCTCCCTTTCGGAGCCTGATACTGAGCTGTAGCTTTTATTTAAGGAAAAGGCACTGCATCTTGGTAACCTGGGTGGCATATGATGAATTTATAATTGAATGCTGTATGTTTTAGGCAGTTTGCCGTGCTATTAGTGTTAGTGTCCCAGTTTCAGACAATTTCCTCAGACTGATTTGCAAACATCAACGCAGATTTCATTCTACCTTCTCACTTCTATGCCTGTACCGAGTTTCTATGAAGCCCTCTCATAGTCAAACCATTACAACATGCAATTGAAAGCAATCGAGACCAACAAAGGTGCTGAATCCCACATTGCAGGCTTGTATACACAGGGGTCTCGTATGATCTTCCTCATAGTAATAGAATTAAAGTCAAAAAGACGACCGCAAAGACTGATCACCCCCCCCCCCCTCCCCATGTAACCCTAGAAATAGAATGGAATGCTTTTTATTTCTTTTCATCTCATTTTCTTTAACAGCTTAAATGTCCGATTCCTCTTGAAATTATAGGCAGTGCCGCAGCCCAAGGGGGGGGGGGGGGGAGGTTCCGGAACCCCTGGAACCCTTTTCCCTGGCTACGCCACTGCAATAACTAGAAATCATTGTCGTTCAGGTTCGCTTGGCCTCGTCTCGCGATAGCTGGAATTTTTGTTTCTTCATGCTTGATGTTCTTTCTGATTGTTTGTTCTTCTACAGCCAAAAACACTTGATACGTACATGTAATCATGAAAGGCGACAGTGTTCTCATCAGATTAAATGTACTACACTTGTTATAGTGGTCGCTCCAACAAATTCAAGTTTTGGTTGAAATTAAACTGAATTTCTGAATTTTCTTTAAATCAACTGAACAAATATCCTGCATTTGTTGTTCAGTATAAGTTAAAATTCCAAGAAATTCAAAGAGTCACTGCAACAGAACTCTCCAGCTCACGTACCAGTAAACTTTTCAATCAGATTAACAGAGATACGAAATAAAAGTTTTATCACGATCCTGAACTAAGGACGTGGTGAGGAAAAAACTGAGTCCCGGATGAAACAATTTCATCTCTTGCTACATCAGTTGACCACCAAAACTAAAACAAGGTTAACTAACTTAGATATATACTAACACGATCTTTATTGTCAACTCCTTATAGCGCCAATAGCGATTACCACCTGTTAGAGACTTAAGATACTACTGAGATAGAAACTAATATGTGAAATTCTTTTTGCAACTAAATTATTCACATTATGCTGCGTAAAATCATCTAAAATATGGAGTTTTTCCTCTGTACAACATCTGCAACATGCCAGTTGATTTCCTTATTGAGCGAAAAGTTTTAAAGTTGATTGGGTTTTATGTTTCTTTCCTCCTTAACGATGGTTAATATAATCAACAAAAATGACACTAAAAGAATCGGATAATCAAACTCTGTTACTGTTGTAGGAAATCTCCAAAGCTGTAAAATTACAAGTTACCAAGAAGAAAGACAATGTAAAGACTTCAGGTACATGATTATAATAATCAAATTCCTTTTCACGGCAGCAGCGAGGAATTTGACATTTAGCCTGATTGGCTTATCTCGAGTCTTTAACTTCCGCAGGTAAGAAAACTACACGGTCGAGGACAAAAAAGCAAAGGAGCATTGCCAATCGTCGGCCTAGACCAAGAAGAAAACACCGCCGAGACGGGTCGTCTGACTCTAACTCTGACTCTGAAGAAGAAGAACAAGAACAACAAGAAGAAGAGGAAGAGGAAAAAGAAGAAGACGAAGGAGAAGGAGAAGAAGAAGGAGAAGAAGAAGAAGGAGAAGGAGAAGGGGAAGAAGAAGGAGAAGAAGAACGAGAAGAAGGAGAAGGAGAAGAAGGGGAAGGAGAAGGAGAAGGAGAAGGAGAAGAGCAAGACTAAGAACAAGAAGAAGAAGAAGAAGAACGCTAAACAGTGAAGTCTAAAGTACTAAATTAAAACTATCACCTCCACCACCACCACCACTACCACTACAACTGCCACCACCATTACCTCTACCCCTGACTGTAAAATCGTACATTCAATATTCGACAATATCATAAGGGTGAAAATGGAAAAACAAAAATACGAGTGTTACTTAAAAGTGAAACGTTATGATAGTTCTCCTTCCCAACTTTTTCTCAACATGCTGGCTACGAACTGGTGCCAGTATAGTCGTCGAGTGACCATACAGATAAAAGGAGTACTCATTAGACAACAACTGCAATAGGCGTCCCTAAATTGAATATTGTGTAAGCTTTGACACGTGTTAGGGTACATTTTTGCTCAGTCTGCTTTATTGTGTGCGCTTCTCTTCGTAACCATTTATATTTATTCAGTTTATTCTATATTGGTGTTTGGGTTTCAGATAATTCGAAAAAGGCAGGTTGTACGGTTTACCTCTTAATATTAACGTAAGTATAATTTTAAAGCTGAGCTTGACAGTAAAGTCACAATTAGTTTTGAGAAACATCTCTTCGAGCTCTGATTTCAGTAACTTAAAACAAATTCATCAGATAGAAATAATTATTTCCTTTAATACGTGTTTTCAGCTGTGGATGCAAGAATGAGCAATTTCTTTGCCGAAGTTCGTTTATTTTAAGCTAAAATCAGTTCTCACTTTTGCTTCCAAACCTGAACAATAATCAGTCTTGCCTGCCTCATTTAATCTACCTAAAGGCCACGCGTCCTAACACCTTTTGAGTTCTTTGTTCTCTGTTGAACCATTTTCAGCCAAATTTTACTTACCGTTCTGACCTTAAAATAGAATTTCTTTCTACACAATCTTAGGAAAATTTA